AGAGGTCAACTCCCGCAGTCCATACTGTAAGCAACCCACCATGGCGCTGAGGAGGTTCACAGGTCTCCCATGTGCCAAGAGAACAGCCGGGTAGACCACCTCAATAGCAAGGGCATCGACCGGCCTGGTAGGAACGACGCAACGCTTGAGCCACAACATCAAGAATCCAGCCAGCAACGCCGCGTCGGAAATTGGAATCAGAGCTTGATAATGAAAGCTCTCAAACTCTGTGTGAGCCGGGAAAACGTCCTCCTTGGCCTCGTTGGTGTAATGGGAGGTAGCGTCGTCAATACGAGCCTGAACCTCTTCCAAAGTACTGACGGGCAATCGGGTCACAGAGCCTCCTTTAGTGGTCAAGTTTCGGAATAAATATTCCGCCCAAGACACTTGTTTGATGTCGCTTCCGCGAGCCCCCGTCAGCTGCAGGCAGATATGGAAGTGACACATCACTTCCCAGAGAGTGGCGTAAATTTCTGGGCTGGTCTTCTTCAAAAGCTTAAGTTCCGCAGATCCCGGAACAAATTCTTCATAGGGTAAATCCCCGAGAATAAGGCCTGAGACTTCGTGCATCTCGTGAAGAGCGAAGCCTAACTCCCCCACAGGGGTGATGAAAGTGCAAGTCTCGGGACTATACTTCTCCAATATAGAGAATAGTGAAAGTGGCTCTGAATAATCCCGAACTCAGTAGCCCACACAGGAACCAGCAATCCAGCTTGGGCAAGAGGGGTTTCTAATTCCTTCAGAACAAACTTGGTCATCTGGGCCCACCACCCTGTCACTGGAGAATGAACCCAACCAGGAGCTCTAAATCCTTGTGCGGGGAATTCTCCTTTCTTTTCCAAAAACCTCTTAACAAAGGTCTTCGCCGGGCTGGGCACCTCGCCAAGGGGATACTCCTTAGCAAATAAACTCGGCCGCAAAGCTGTCACCTGCCGGTTATAACCAACTGTGCGGACCCCGTAAAAAGTCAAAGTCCCGAGAGCAACCCCATCTTGATCCTTAACCAGGGGCCAATCCATATGCCTTGGGACAGAAGCACACTGGAAATAAGATATGGGGAACATCCTCTCCATATTGGGCAAGAAAAGGTTGCGGTCCCCAACTTTCCGCAACCACTTATAGTCCCCATCATAAACAGTGCTCGCGTCGAACTCAACAAAGTCCCCGAAGAGATATCTAGGTTTGATTATTGACTTACGGCTGGGGCTTTCAAGTCGGGCGTCCGTAACCAATGTTCTAAGAGTGTCGGAAGAAGCTTGGGTAATTAATTCTACGCGACTCTTCTCCCTAACTCAAAAAACTGGGAGTTCTTGGCGCGAGCTGAAGGCCATGTTCATGTCCGCACCACCTTCATGCCCGAAATGGTGGCGAAAAAGAAGGGGTTCGTTGGTATGACGCACTGCAAAAAGAGGAAAAGAGTTAGACAACTCGAAATCAAAGCTCAGACGCGAAGGTTGAACCTCGCGTCAAACAAGCTCAGACGCGAAGGTCGAACCTCGCGTCAAACAAGCTCAGACGCGAAGGTCGAACCCCGCGTCAGACAAGCTCAGACGCGAAGGTCCAACCCCGCGTCAGAAAGTTCAGACGCGTAGGTTGACCCTCGCGTCAAAAATCTCAGACGCGCAGGTCGACCCCCGCGTCAAGAAAGATGAAACGACGGAGTCCAGCCCCGCGTTATTGAAACGAGTTTCCTCGTTGATCTCAAGATCAGAACTTGCCGAAGCAAGTTTAATGACCACGGAGGTCGTACTCACCACCAATCAAAGGGAGCTGAGGCGGCACATTCGCATGAGCAGCGGCGCCGCCGGCCGGTGCTGACGATGCAGATCCTCGAGCCGCAGCGGCATCGGATTTAGGAGCGACGGGCTTCTTGGGGGCCATGAGATCTCGTCGGAGGAGATGAACAGTTGTCGCCGGAGATGAGAACGAAGTTTTTTCGTTGGAATTTCAAGAAGAGTCGAATGACTCTTGATTTGACCCCTAGCGGTCTATTTATAGACAGCTATGAGCTGTTAAATCGTAACGGACGGGATTCGAGGCTATCAGCCCGCCCAAACTCGATCCTCGCGTTCGAGTTGGTTGAGCTTCCAAATGCGATGCTCACCTGCGCGTTCAAATTTTCCCAACGCTGGGCTCACCCATGCGTTCCAATTCTCAAATGCAAAAGTCATCTCTGTGTTGAGACCACCATGACAGCAATTTCTTGGCTACCAAGGCGACCAAAGCCGGGAAGAAATAAACGACTCCATTGGGGAGTCTATTGGAGGAGTACAGAGAGATTACAGTCAACAACTTTGAAATCATCTGGCTCGATCAGACGGAGGGAGCAATCAATCCACTAAATTTTGGATCCAAAGTATTCCGAAAATTCGTCCCAGTCAACCGCGAACTTTCGAAAACTTTGGAGGGGGTTCTGTAGGCTGTCTAAAAATCACAATAGATAGCTGATCCAAATAAGCTCCGACAATGGAGGTCACAATCAGACGACTTCCCAATCACTGCATCCGCAACTCCACAATCACCACAAACACGACCTCACTTCTGAGATGATTGATCTTGATGGCTGTGACAACAGCATGGCTAATATCATAGCAACTATTAGAGATGCTGATGAGCAGTGGGACGATTTCAGAAATAAAAAGTTGGACTCAGTTGGTGAGTTGCTTGGTAGAGAGCTATGGGCGAATATTCATCTTTAAGACACTATGGATGTTGATTCCCGTCTAGCTTCAACAACGAAAGCTACAATCAAATAGCTTTCGGGTCGATGATCGAAACATAAAAAATGATAAATGCAAGAAACAATGAGAAGTCAATATCACTTTTTATTCAAGAACCAAAAGAAAGTGATACAAAACAAACTTTGTTCTTGTCAAAAGAACATTACAGAAGCCAAACTCACTCACGCATCAAATCAAAAGAGATGAGTTGAGCCTTGAGTTCAGCTAGTTCCGCCTCGTGGTTAGCCCGCACTGTAGCTTCAGCCTTTGCTCGGAGTTCATCCTCACTTGGTATGATGATGGCCGCCACTTCCTTCCTGGCGTCTTCTAGGGCTTGAGCTTGTGCATGATACTCTAAAGTACCAGTTGTATTCTGGGTACTAAGGATGTTGACAACGCCTTCTTCGCGGGAGAGTTCAGCTTTCAATCGCAGGACTTCGGCTTCAACTTCAACTAGTCTGTCCCGAAGTGAATTCATGGAAGCAGTTGAGCGTTCTAGTTCTTCTCGCTTCCGAATGTTATGCTCACGAAGCTCTGCGATCTGACGCTCTTTTTCAGCTAAGTCCCGTTCTAGCGCCTCTCGGTGTATCACTTCAGCGACCTGAAGACTAGCCAAAGTGGACATGATCTGCGGCTGAAGGTCACTATGGAAGATCTAAACCGCTCAGGTTGGAAATTTTTCAGTTCTCAAACAGATAAGGGCTAGCTGGTTGGATTTTTCATATCTGAACCGCACGGGTTTGGAAATTCGGAAGGATCTCAACCGCACGAAGGGTTAGCTGCAGCAGTAAAATCCTTGGAGATAGGATTTTTGAATCAAATTCAGAAGATCAAATCTGAGAGGATTCTTCAACAACAGAATAACAGCTTGATCATTAACCGAATTTTCGGTTCTAACAACTCTATTCACAGAGTTCTAACTCGTTCAGAGTTCTTAAACTCATTCAGAGTTAAACATCAAACTTTCCACAGAAGTTCATCGTTCCCACGAGATAGAAGACGGTCGGATCGTCAACGGAGAGCAATTTCGACGCGAGCAATCGAAGGAGGCATTCCATCGCTACCGAGAAGAACCCAGTTTTAAACAAAGGAGAGAATCAAATTCGTTCTCTTCTCTTTTGTAATCAAGTTGTAATCGAGATCAAAGGAATCCAAGTCAATTTTCTTTATTCTCTTCTTTGCAATTTTTCCTACAAACATGGATTCAGATTATGCTAGAGATCTTGACAAGCGCATGTCTACTTCAGGTTATGTGTTTACATTGGCAGGTGCACCGGTATGTTGGCGATGTATACTTCAGTCCACAATGGCTCTCTCTACTACAGAGACAGAGTATATGGCGGTGACTGAGGCTGTTAGGGAGGCTTTGTGGTTGCAAGGATTATTGGATGACTTGGGGATCGCACAGGAGACCATTCGGGTATTTTATGATAGCATGTCGGCTATCTATTTGACGAAGAACCATGTTTATCATGCACGCACGAAGCACATCGATGTCAGATTCCACTTTGTTCGTGACGTTTTGGATGAAGGAGATGTCATATTGGAGAAGGTCCACACGAAGAGCAACCCTGCAGATATGTTGACCAAAGTTGTTTCAGGTGTGAAATTTTATTATTGTTTCGTTCTGCATGTTTTCTGATTATGCGTAAATTGTAGTCTTCATTCGTAAGTTAAGCTTCAGTTACTGCTGAAGTTTGTAGCCCTGTTGTTGTGTGACAAAATGGAGCTCTAAAGGGGCTACATTGCTTGAGATCGACCGTTTAAAAATTGAAAGAAAAATACACCACTATAATAATAACGCCAAAAAATGAAAATAAAGAAGAAACCAACATGAAGATGACCTACTCAAGATTATCAGGCTAACCATGACAGGCAACACTAAGTGTGTAAATTTTCATTGAATCATTTTCTGAGAACCATCTCTTGATACAAGTATTTTTTTTCCCCGCAATTAATCTATCCAGAGGCCTCAGAATGCATCAGATTTATGTACACTATTTCATTGTAAGTAAGGGCACTCCCAAATCTTAGGGCGGCTGATGTTTCAGCTTCACTGATTATATTATGCTTGCTTAGTGCAATCCTAATTCAGGTTCTATCTTGGTCTGTACAAATAAATTACTGTGGTAAACTGTTTCGTTAATTAGATGACATAAATCGTCCACAACTCTTTGGCAGAACAATTCCAGTGCACTCCAGAATTTTTTTTTCCCCTGAAAACTTTTAATATGAATTGGAGCATTCACATAATTTAAAATGGATCACAATTTGCAAAGATGAACGACGTCAACTAAAAAACATATATTAAACGAATAACCTAAAACTAAAGAAACAACATTAACAACCATGACGACAAATTGCTCTCTCTCCTTTCACTCCCCCCTGAAACATCTGAGAATTACCTCCCTACTCTGCCAAATTCCCAATTTACTACGACAATCCACACCACTAACTTTTTGCACACAACTGAAACATGATGGAAGCTACATGCAAGACCCATATTTCCTCTCTCCCTATCCCTCTCTAGACATCACAATAAAATGCATGTGAAAAAGGGAAATTATGATGGTTAGGTGCCCGCCCTAGTCCTCGAGCTACCAAGAGTGAGTTCAAGCTCATCAGATCCACACTCTTCATGAATCCTCTCCCCTTCCCATGCCTTCACCAAACCTCCACCCTGAATATTACCATTGCTACTGCTCCCAAAAGCAAACTCGTCCGATGCGCAATCTAACATATGAACATCCCCGCGGTTTGGTCCTCCTCGCATAGCAGGTGAACATACCCCACTCCGAGGCATAACCGGTGAACATGCCCCACTCCGAGGCATAACCGGTGAACACACCCCACTCTGACCCGGAGTCCACATCCTCGAAGACCCTTCGCTCATTATTCCCCCCTTAAAGGATCCAAAAGGGTTTGATGACACAAGACTAAATGTGGGGGACGAGGGCCCAGAGAGCCACCCGGGCTGAGGAATCATCTTCTGACAGCGAGGGCTTGACGGAGTAGACGACGGTAGGAAAGTATAATGGTTTCCCGGAGGCCATGATGGTTGTTGTGAAGTAGGATCATCCCAGTCAGTTTTAATTCGTTGGGACCGTGCGGTTGGAGAGCTCAAGGGTGGGGTCACGGGTGCGCTTATGGACCCAGTGTGAATGTAGAGGTTGTGGTTATGGAATGGGGGTCTTGAAGAGGATGAGGATGCTGAAGAGAGATTCTTGAGCCAAGGGATGAGAGAATTTGCATCGGGTACGCTGGTGATGGGGTTGTTAGGGTTTGTGATGTGAGAGGAGGCTGGGCTGTGGAGAGCAGAGGAGGCCGGGCTAGGGTTATATGAGGCACATGGGCTTGGTTGGTATGATGAGCAGGGGCTTGCTGAGATTGAAGGTCCTGCTACTTCCATAGACTCTGTTGGCTTGCAACCCTGCAAAGTTGTGTAGGAAAAGATTTAATCACATAACAGTAACTAATATATGATGGCCGAAGTATTGCGTAAATGTAATTCCATTACGTCACAATCTTATTAGAATCTGGTGATGGAGCTGTAAATGTAATTTCATAACCATCTTATTAAAATGATAGCAACAAATAAAAAATAAAAAATAAAAAAAATACTCCAACAATTTGGATGAGGGGAGGGGACAGGATACGACTGTCGCTATGACTCAATAGACAGATGATTAGTAGTACATGATAACAAGAAAAAACAGAAGAAGTATCCAATGAAACACGTTGCAGAACCTTTTGAATAGGGGAAAGGGTTGGAATCGAATCAAACTGAGGTTGTATTAGTCTATAAACTTTGAATTCGAATTTGAATTCAAATTATGTTCTCAGCTCCAAATATGAATGCTTCTTCGAATACTAAAACATATTAAGTACTTGATTAGGTTAAATAGTTTGTGTTTATATAATTAAAGAGTCCTCTTTCTTATTAAAATTTTGATTCTCTTGACTATTTGAATCATGACATGGCAGAGGTCACATTGCTACTATGAACAACATCATCTTACAAATTTCAAACATGTACGTACCCGTATAGTGATATGTAGATACAATGGATAAATATTTGATAAGCAAATGAACCAAATATTTGATCATTATCATATTTGATGCATATAATAGACGAAAACAAAATCATATTTGATTTGTTTTTTTTATTATCAATAAAATCAGATTTAAACAAATATTTCAGTGAATAAAACACCAAACTTTTTGATAATTACTTGATCAACTTCCATCCTTACCCATTCCTACCAGGCAACTGAATTTGCATGTGTGGATGGGGTAATTGGAAAAGGTATGTGCAAGAACATGACCAATAAGTGCTCCCATGTGAAAATGAGTAGGCAGCTGGCAACATACTCACTCGTGCAACACTCTTATCATAAGAAAAGCTAGATACAGCATGCTTAATGAAAACTTCCTTGAACTTCAGGTTCAGGTAGTATTTACAACTTGTGCATTTACATAAGGAACCACAGGTTGACATATCGGGCAATGATCATAGTTAACCGATTTTGATTTAGAAGTTAGAACGACAGAATAGAAGCACTGCATGCAGCTTCAAACATTAACCAAGGAGCTGGCACAGAAAAAATTAGCCTACCACATAGCAAATAACGTCTATTTAACATAAGTGCAAAAGTGTAAATTGGAAGCCAGCTTTATATCTAGGAACTTAGGAGGTGGAAGTTTTAGCTTCATGAATGCCTTCAATTTTCCTGTTTTTTCCAGATTTAAACAAGAGTTATGTTGAATAACCACTTAGCTATTATGAATACGCATATTATGTGCCAGTCATCACTGTTCATATAGGATGCAACCCGGCTACACAGCCCCAGAGCAAAATCAAACATACACGTGCAAGCTCGACATGCCTAGAACACAACTTGATAGATGAAACGACATCCACGCATTTATTCAGTCTATTGGACATTGATATACATTTTTGAAAAAGTTTAGTAAGATGAATAATCATTTTTTTCCATTAAGTAAAATATAATGTGCACCAAGATAAAATTCATTTCACTTATCAACTAAAACAATTAGGCATACATTCAGTGGTGGATCCGAGAATTTCAAAAAGGGATGTCAAAATTAATAATTTAAAAAAAATTACAAGTGTCCCCACGAGCTTTCATTTGTGCAAAAAACAAAAAGAATAACGAAGACAAAATCACATCACTATTAATACCATCAAATTCATATAAGGTTTTCAGTTGGTTCATCTTAAATATTTAATGGGGTAAATTTTATAGTGAGTGAGGATTTTAAGTGAGGTGAGTATTATAGTATGAACTGGTGTCATGCGATACCAATTTGTTCAATGTGGATCCGCCCCTGATCATAAACTTACTAAAAGTAATAATAATAATAATCTCAACTTGGATGTAAGAAAAGGTGGGATCATCAGTTCCCTCGACAAAATTTTAGTTATTTACCGCTCCACCTTTCTTCAGTGCACTTTTTGTAGGACATGACACTAATATTTGAAAATGCCAACGGACATCCTAAAACCCCTTAGAAAATCAATCATATGTTTGGGTTTCTTGTCCTCGTACTTTCATGTAACTACTACGGCCTGTTTGTTCCCTTATTATTAATCTCTTTAGAATTAATATAACAAGTTAACATGAGCCCAACAAAACCAAGAAACTTCTAATCGGTGTTGGGTCCACTTGTCAGCTTACTGAATTTTGAAACCAAATCAGTAAAATCCCCTATATCTGTTGCCTTCTAAATAGGGTGTTTACATGAAAACTACCTTAACTTTAGCCCAAATTGCAACTTACCACCTAAGTTTCTCCTTTTTTTTGTTAATAAACCACCTTAGTTTGTTAACATGTTCTCAATGTCACACTTTTAGATATTTTCTATACAAAAACAAATCTGAAGTTCCTATTACACGCCACAATCTAACCCAAGAGAAAGAAGGAGAGGCGGAGGAGAGAAAGGGGAGATTGGGAGGAAGGTTAGTGGTGATGGGGTCGGATGCGGGAGAGGGGAGGAGGAGTGGAGAGAGAAGAGGACAGAGGGGAAGGAGGAGAGAATGGAGTGAGGAGGAGGAGAGGGAGGTGGAGAAATAAATCAACTAATTTATTTTACAAAAAGAAAAAAAGAGATTGTGCATGTAAAATGTTAAAATTTTTGAAGTTGGTGCAAGTAGATATGAAGATGAACAATTTTTCAAAACAGCCCCATTTAGAGTTTTTTTTTCAAAATCAACCGGTTTTTTATTTATTTATCAAAACCGACCCGATTTTGTGATTAGCAGCCTAATCACCATCCTAAATAGTCGGGGTTGCCAACCCCGACTATTTAGGAGGGTATTAAACCCTAATTAGAGACCTTAAACACTAAAAATTAAGGTCCTAAATAGTCGGGGTTGCCAACCCCGACTATTTAGGAAGGTGATTAGCCGGTTAATCACAAAATCGGGTCGGTTTTGATAAATAAAAAAACCGGTTGATTTTGAAAAAAAAAACTCTAAATGGGGCTGTTTTGAAAAATTGTTCATATGAAGATTGTTGGCAAATAAACAAGGACGCAACTGTGGATCCAAATATTGGCACTTGGAAAGATGTTGAGGAGGTTAGAAAATAGATTATATAAGAAGTTTTATTTATGATTCAAACTAGAGGGAAATTGAGGAGGGAAATTTTTAATTTTTGTATTATCGAAAAATATGGCATATAGACAATAATTGCTTGGCTCAACTATTTTTGGGGGATTCTTTAAGAAGCCCAATACTATAAATTCTCAAAATTGTAATTATTATAGGTGACTATATATGCAAAATGTAAAAGTTTAGGCCGCCTTGAAATTGCACTTAGCTCTGCCATTGGTGGAGGGGGAGGAGAGGAGGGGATGGGTTAGGGTTTAGAGAAATGCTGTAAAGTTGCAATTGAGGCAAAAGTTAAGATAACTTTTTTAGTTGAATAGTAAAAATGGTGTGGCATTAACAATTAAGCAAATTAGGATGATTTACATTAAAAAAATAAAAAACTAAGGTGATAAGTTTGCAATTTGAGCAAAAGTTAAAAGATCGATTTTATGTAAAGGCCATTCTTTAAATCCAAAGATTTCATCAACTGCTTGATTGATTAACAAGCAACACTTAATCCAATTTTTAATAGGAAAATGGCTGTCCAAGTCTCACTCTACATCACGGTGGGTCCGCAAGCACTAGCGATGGGACCCACACTGCACATGTATTCTACGGCTAACGCATTGTCTTCAACAAAGGAATCACGTCAGTTCACACTCCTCAACTCCCCTAAAGAAGCCTAAAAAGCACAAAAACAGCCTTATAACATTAAACTTTCACGTGTTCACGAATCTTAAAACAGCCTTAACCGGTGTCTACAGAAAAAGTAAATCCACCGGCGAGGGTAATTTCGTCAACTTCAAAAAGCAACGTAACGACTTTTGTCCTCGAGGACTTGCGTGGGTCGCGTGACCTGCGGAGGCACAAAGCCACGAGGCCTCCAGCTAGGCGACAAGGTACCGTCGTGCCCTTGCGAAATAGAGATCTCGCGAGGGCAAAATCGTAAAGGCGAATTATTTGGAAGCGGTCTAACGTGCACCCACCGGCCGGCCGAACAACCCAAGCGTCGGCGACGTCAACTAAAAATTAATACCCATTTATTTACTCTGATTTTTCCTACGCAGTAATCTCGAGTACGACGTACTAAAGCGTGAGGCGCAAGTTATCGTCTGCTACCGTACGCCGACGGCCCGATGAAAAGGACGGTTCGGGGGCGGCAGTCTGCGGGGGCGGCGCATTATAGCAGGATCGATCTCCGTCTGCTTCGTGCGCCCCCGTCGTGTATTGAGCTTCTGCGCTCCGGCGTCATAATTTTCGCACTTAAAGACAGTCGCTAGGCAGCTAGCGCATGGATTGATACCATGCGCCACGAAATTGCTCCTCCATGAGCCAAATGTCAAGATCGGGATCCTGAATCCGCTACATGTGGCTTTCTAACTTAAAAAAAAAATATATTCTCCTCAAGCTATTTTCTCGCGCCGTTCTTCATTTGCCACTTTCTCACCCTAATCCAAACCAAAAAAGGAAGGAAGAAGAAAAAAAGATACATAGCGAGCGGTGAGGTTACCTTCCGGTAAGTGGTACCGTCGGCTCCACAGTCCACCCTGCCTCATCGCGAGGGCTTGAGCACTCGTTGTTGTCGCAGTGCTTCGGAGCTTGTAGTTCCCGTACATCCTCAGCCCCGCCGTAATCTTGGCCGCGATCGCCCGCCGCCTCTCTCCCTCCTCTTGTTGTTTGTCTCCCTCTCCCTCACGTCGGCATCCTCGCCCCGACGTACATCGGATCCCGCACCCCCGGTTAGATCAGATCGACCTGAATTCGCCGATGCTTTCCCAACTCTATCTTTCTTTTCTTTTTAAGTTGTTTAGACTTGCCGGGAATGCCTTTGGTCTTTTTGGAGAGTAGGGGCGGTGAGGGAGTGTCCGCTTTAAATCCTGCGGCTGATGTATTAGCTTAGGTACCGTCGGCGAAAAACTCCACAGTCCAACCCTGCCTCATCGCAGAGGGCCTTGAGCACCTCGTTGTTGTCGCAGTGCTTCGGAGCTGTGTAGTTCCCGTACATCCTCAGCCCGCGTACGATCTTCGCGCCGCGATCGCCGCCGGCCTCCATCTCCCTCCTCTTGTTGCTGTCTCTCCTCTCCCTCGGTCACGTCGGCCCATCCTCCTGCCCCCGACGTCATCGGATCCCGTTCACCGCCCGCCCGTATCAAGATCTAGACTCGGCCTGCAATTCGCCCGGAGTTCTTTCCCCTTCTTTTCCTTCTTTTTTAGGTGTTAGACTTGCCGGGCGAAGCTTTGAGCTCTTTTTATCATGTGGTGGAGGTTTAAGGGCCGGCTGTGACGGGCGTTCTGTGCTCGCCTTTAAAATGCTGCGGCTGTTTCGGAGCTGCCCCTTGCGAGAACTCGGGATTTTACGGTGGTGCCACTGTATGTGGGGCCCAGTAGACAGTAAGGAGTGGTGACGAACTGAATTGGGTCCGACAGGTTCTGCTTTTGTAAAGCAAGATTTTGATTAGGACTGGGTATGAATTGCTGTTCCTTAGTACTTTGTAGGGGTGAAGCTAACGAAGTGGTGAAATTAAGAGCTTTGCTACAGAGACCCAAGATACGGGATCAATAGAGGGGACAAGTGAGGTGTCTCCTTCCTATTGGATAATGAGTTGACCATCATTAATGATGACCAACTCATTATCCAATAGAAGGGAGACACATCACTTGTCCCCTCTATTAGTCCCATATTTTGAGTCCTTGAGGAATTTTTCTCAAATTAATTTATGAAGGGGCCCACTGCATGAGGTTTTGCATTTGTTTTTATGGTTACGTTCAATGGTTGATTCAGAAATTTATGGAGAATCGTTACATAAGTAATAATTAAAAAACTTCACAATTATATTCGATGAATTTTCAAATTTTAATAAAAAAGTATATAATTGCATCATTATTACCATATATCAAATACACTATCATATCCGGACCTGAGTGCATAGTCGCATTAATAACACCAACGACACTATTAGTAACATATATATAAATAAAGTTGGACCCAAATGCAAAATCAGATATACCATCAATTAATGTCACACTATCTCTTAATAAATAGGTGAAAAATGGCTGTCCAAGTCTCACTCACATCACGGTTGCGGGCCGCTAAGCCACTATGCGCATGGGCGACCCACACTGCACATGTATTCTTACGGCTAACGCATTGTCTTCAACAAAGGAATCACGTCATTCACCACTCCTTCAACTCCCCGCTAAAGAAGCTAAAAAAGCACAAAAACAGCCTTATAACATTAAACTTATCACGTGTTCACGAATATCTCCTTATAAACAGCGCTTAACCGGGTGCTACAACAAGTAAATCACGGCTGCACGCGGTAATTTTCCCCGAGTTCAACTTCCAAAAAGCCGAACACGTAACGATTTTGTTTCCCTCGGCAGGACTTGCGTGACTGGACGCAGTGACCTGCCGAAGGCCACAAAGCCACGGAGGCCTGCCAGCCTAGGACGACAACGAGGATACACGTCAGCTCATCCCTGCCCTGTTTGCGAATAGATTTGATACGCGAGCGGCAAAATCGTAAAGCCGCCGAAACTTATTAATGAAGCAGCTCTAACGTGCACCCACCGGATCTCGCCGATCCGAACAAACCCACAAAGCGTCGGCTGACTGTCAACTAAAAATCTAATACCCATTTACTTCTTATAATCTGATATTTACCTACGAGCAAGTAATCTCGAGCTACGACGCCTACTAAAAGCGCTGAGGCGCAAGTCTATCGTTCTCGACTACCGTACGCCGACGACGCCGATGCAAAAGGGATTTACAGTGGTCCTGGTGCGGCGCACGGTCTGCGGGGGTGCTGTAGCCTCGCATATTATAGGCAGTGCACTCGATCTTCCTGTATCTGCTTATCCGCTGCGTGGCCACCCGTCTTGTTATTGTTGAGCTTGACTTGCGCTCTTCGGTCGTCATAATTTTCGCCACTTTAAAGCACAGTCGCTAGGCAGGCCTAGCGCCCAGGAGTGCTACCCATGCGCACCGCCAAATTGCTCCTCTCATGAGCCAAATGTCAAGATCGGGATCCTGAATCCCGCTACATGCATGCTTTACTAACTTAGAAAAAAAAAAATAATATATACTCCTCAAGGCCTACTTTTTTTTACTCGCGCCGTTCTTCATTTGCCACTAACTATCTCACCCATACAATCCCAAACAAAAAAGGATATAAGAAGAAAAAAAAAAAAAGCAATATCGAGCGCGTGCATGATGGTTACCTTCCGGTAGTTGAATAAACACTTCAAGCTATTATGAATACGCCATTATGTGCCACGTCATCACTTGTTCTATAGGATGACAACCCGGCTACACAGCGCCAGAGCAAAATCAAACATACAGTGCAAGCTCGAATGGACCTTAGGAACACAACTTGGATAGATTGAAACGACGATCACGCATTTATTCAGTCTATTGGACATGATATTACATTTTGAAAAAGTTTTAGTAAGATGAAATAATATTTTTTCCATTAAGTAAATATAATGCTTGCACCAAGATCAAATTCATTTCACTTATCAACTAAACAAATTGGCATACATTCAGTGGTTTGGAATAGGCAGAATTCAAAAAGGGATGTTCAAAATTAATAATTTAAAAAAATACAAGTGTCCGACGGAGCTTTCATTTGTCGCAAAAAAACAAAAAGAATAACGCAAGACAAAAATCACATCACTATTAATACCATCAAGACTTCATATAAGGTTTTCAGTTTGGCCTTCATCTTAAATCTTTAATGGGGTAAATTTTATATAGTGAGTTGGGATTTTAAGTGAGTGAGTATTATGAGTATGAACTGGTGTCATGCTCGATACCATATTTGTTCAATGTGATCCGCCCGCTGATCATAAACTTACTAAAGGAATAATATAATAATCCTCAACTTGGATGTAAGAAAAAAGGTGGGATCATCAGTTCCCTCGACAAAATTTAAGTTATTTTACGCTCCACCTTTCTCAGTGCACTTTTGTTAGGAACATGACGACTAATATTTTGAAAATGCCAACGGACATCTAAAACACCCCTTTAGGGAAAAAATCAATCATCATGTTTGGGTTTCTTGTCCTCGTACTTTCATGTAACTACTAGGCCTGTTGTTCCCTTATTATTAATCTCGTTTAGAATTAATATAACAAGTTTAACATGAGCCCAACAAAACCGCAAGACTTCTAATCGGTGTTGGGTCCACTTGCTCAGCCTTATGAATTTTGAAACCAAATCAGTAAAATCCCCTATTATCTTGTTGCCTTCTAAATAGGGTGTTTACATGAAAACTACCTTACTTTTAGCCCAAATTGCACACTTACCACCTAAGTCTCGCTTTTTTTTGTTAATAAACCACCTTAGTTTGTTTAACATGTTCTCAATGTCACACTTTTAGATATTTTCTATACAAAAAACAAATCTGAAGTTCCTATTAGACGCCACAATCTAACCCAAGAGAAAGAAGGAGAGGCGGAGGAGAGAAAGGGGAGATTGGGGAAGGTTAGTGGTAGATGGGGTCGGATTGCGGCGAGAGGGCAGGAGGAGTGGAGAGAGAAGAGGACAGAGGGGAAGGAGGAAGGAGAATGGAGTGAGCGGAGGACGAGAGAGGAGGGGAGGGCATTAGCGCGAGCTAAGAATTTTATCTTTTTTTTTTTTTTGGGGGGGGGGTTGGGGTCGGGTGGGGGGATCATGAGTACATTAAGTATATCAACTATTTATTTTTTACAAAAAGAAAAAAAGAGATTGCTGCATGTAAAATGCTTAAATTTCTTGAAGTTGGTGCAAGTAGATTTGAAGATGAACAATTTTTCAAAACAGCCCCATTTAGAGTTTTTTTCAAAATCAACCGGTTTTTTATTTATTTATCAAAACCGCCCGATTTTGTTGATTTAGCAGCTAATACATCCTAAATAGTCGGGTGCAACCCGATATTTAGGAGGGTTATTAAACCCTATTAGAGACCTTAAACACTAAAAAATTAAGGTCCTAAATAGGTCGGCGGTTGCCAACCCCGACTATTTAGGAAGGTGATTAGCCGGTTAATCACAAAATGGGGTCGGTTTTGATAAATAAAAAAACCGGTTGATTTGAAAAAAAAAACTCTAAATGGGCGCTGTTTTGAAAAAATTGTTATATGAAGATTTTGGCAAAATAAACAAGGACGCAACTGTGATCCAAATATTTCTGGCACTTGGAAAGATGTTGAGGAGGTTAGAAAATAGAATTATATAAGAAGTTTTATTATGATTCAAACTAGAGGGAAATTGAGGAGCGAAATTTTTAATTTTGTATTATCGAAATATAGCATATAGACAATAATTGCTTGCGCTCAACTATTTTTGGGATTCTTTTAAGAAGCCAATACTATAAATTCTCAAAAATTGTAATTATTATAGTGACTATATATGCAAAAGTAAAAGTTTAGGCCGCCTTGAAATTGCATCTTAGTCTGCCATTGGTGGAGGGGGGGAGATGGAGGGATGGGTTAGGGTTTAGAGAAATGCTGTAAAGTTGCAATTTGAGGCAAAAGTTAAAGATAATTTTTTAGTTGCAATAGTAAAAATGTGTGGGCATTAACAATTAAGCAAATTAGGATGATTTACATTAAAAAATAAAAAATAAGGTGATAAGTTGCATTTGATGCAAAGTTAAAAGATCGATTTTATGTAAAGGCCATTCTTTAAATCCAAAGATTTCATCAACTGCTTGATTTGATTAACAACGCAACACTTAATCAATTTTTTAATAGGGAAAATGGCTGTCCAAGTCTCATCTTACATCACGGTGGTCGCAAGCCACTAAGCGATGGGACCCACACTGCACATGTATTCTACGGCTAACGCATTGTCTTCAACAAAGGAATCACGTCAGTTCACATCCTCAACTCCCCCTAAAGAGGCCTAAAAAAGCACAAAAACAGCCTTATAACATTAAACTTATCACGTGTTCACGAATCTTAAAACAGCCTTAACCGGTGTTCAGAAATATAATCCACCGGCGAGGGTAATTTCGTCAACTTCAAAAAGCAACGTAACGACTTTTGTCCCTCGAGGACTTGCGTGGGGGTC